TTTGCTTTCCACTGGGCAGGTTACTTCACCCAGCATGTTCTGAGGTGACATAAGATTTTTCAAAAAGCCTGTGATTTACTTATAACTCCTCAAAAATACCAAGATGTAAAATCCCAGTGCTAAACAGTGAACATTTGCCTTTCTGGGTATTTTACAGATTCACTTAGAAAACTGAGCATGTGTATATTTATTTTTGAAGCCTAAATATTTATACTTGAAGTTGTGCCTATAAGCAATTGAAAGTATAAAGCAGGTTTTAATAAAATGTGTAGAAAATGAACATGTAATTGCAGATACATTTTATTCAAAGCTGTTTCCCTAGCAGTGTGTCCCTCCCTTTCATAGATTTGCCACACCGTCTGGTTAAAGAGTGTGGCACTCACCTTCCCACCGTCTCTATGGGTGAATGGACATAAAATTAGAATTCTAGTAGACACGTTGGATAAACTAGTACAGATCCAGGCTACAGTAAATATTTAAAAGATAATGAAAGCAAATGCTTAGAACTTTTTGTTATGACAAGTGAAATAAAACTTGCTCATATCAATATGAAGTGAGGAATAAATGTAAAATTGTTTCTGCTTTTTCTCCCAAGCAAGACTTCTGACTGAAGATCTCCTGATTCTTATGCAATTCAGTTGCACCTGGATTGTTTTCTCTTGAAAAAATATACTTGTATAGCCTTCTTTAAGTTAGCAAATGCCCGAGAGCGATACATCATTTTTCCCCAGTACTCTTTCCGTGGCCTAAGCAAGAGGCGGAGAAGCAGTGCAGGGCAGGGATTTCAGTCCTAGGTAAGAAAATAGAATGGATTTTCTTGGTTGTGAGTTTTCTGATGTGCTTGGAATTCAGGTGCACAGTGGCAGCGACAGCAGACACCTCAATCTAGGGACGCTAGAGGTTGAGCAGCGGGCTGCTAAGTGGTTCAGAAGAGTGGCTAGGAACTCCTGTACAGGGTACAGACTGTGATGTGACCCATGCAGCTTCTGTGGCTCATGCATTGCCTTAGGATCTATAGTCCTTTTTGCTGTAGGGCTTGTTGCGCAGTATGTTATCAATCTCATTGACCACATGTGACGTCATCTTTGGGAGAACCTGGGAGCAGGGGAAGAGGTACAAAGTACATGGTTAGGACTGGTGAGCATCTGTTTTGTGTTTGGTGCTGAGCAGAGTCGTGTGGACTGGTATAGGTTCATAACCAACCCTCTGTTGCACTAAGCTCCTTAAGATCGGGTCCCGTTTATTGACTGAGAGTGAAGGCTCATGGGAATAGAGGGCAGCTCTGTCCAGTAATAACGTGAGCATGGGTACATTTTCTAGTGGCTGCCTTAAAGTAAAAAAGATAAAGTTGAAATTAATACATTTTTTACTCATTTGTACCACAGTAGTATTATTTCAACATAATAGAAATCATGTAGAAAAATAAGATACCTTGTTTTGGGGGGTTCTCTGCCCTTCAGATCCTGGGAACATTTTACACTTAGAGCAGATTTGCATTTGGATTCATCACCTCACCTTTCTTAAACTCAATAGCCACCATGGCTGGAGGCTCCTGTGGTGGACAGCACTGCCTAGAGACAGGAAGGGCTCCTCCATCTGGTGTTTGGAGCCCTGGTGAAGGATGCCAGGGCTGACGGGCATCCTAGGAGGATGGAAGAGCATGGCAAAGTGGAGTGGAGAGATGGAAAGCCGGTGGTGGTGGGTGGGAAGGTAGAAACAGGAGTGGGAAGTGGGTCAGAGCACCATTCTAAGGAGTAGGGATTTTACCCCCAGGGCAGCATAACCTCTCTTGGGGCTTCTGGTTTGGGAGGGACCTGGTCAGACACTGGAGGTAGTTTGAGGAGTAAGTTAGAGGAGACCAACGGGGGACGATAAGACAGTGGCAGGGGAGTGATCTTAGAGGCTCAGGATGGTGTGGGTTCGAAACTGGCTGGAAGGAGTTTGGTACAGACGGATGAGACTGGCACCAAAGGAGAATTCAGGGAATAAGAAGTTAGGCAGGGTGTGTTGAGGTAGGAAGTGACTCATGGGCAGCTTGGGACCTTTGCCAGACTGGAGTGGAGGACGCATGGCTATTCACACGGTGGCGCACTGAACCCCGGGGAGAGCCAAGCTTTCGCAGGGCCAGCGTTTACCATGAGAAATGGGCCGAGGACACTCAACCCCAGGACAAGGAACACAGACTGACCCCTGCTGGGATGGTCTGACCCTTCGTGGAGGGTCCACGAAGTGGTGGAAAGGCCACTGTGCCAGCCGGGCTGAGGTTTGACCTCAGCCTTCCTTTATGCATCCTGCTGGCCAAGGTGACCTTGTCTCCACTCGCCTGTCCTCAGAGGCCTTAGGGTTTGGCTGAGACTGAAACTGTTGCTTCTGGTTAACGTTTTCCTGTC